TTAGCTGTTGGGGAAAAAGATGTGTGGTCCATGATATGTTCATTTGTCACACCTCAATTATGAATGTCAGTTTGATTAGTTTGTTTGGTGTATTAACAAAATGAGTCGTTCCTGCTGATGTAGGTATTTGAAAAATTATATGGATATATGATGATACAGACATTTTTTAATGTGTGTGGTTTGTTTATAATTTTTAGATGAGTTATTTGTATAGTGTTATCATCTTCTAATTAAGTTTCATTATCTTTGTTTTCTATTCTAATACAACCAATTTCTTCACAAATTGTAATGGCTCCGGACTAAATCTTTTTGCAACCAAGCATAACCTATATTTGAAACATGTATGAAATAGTAAAGTGTATTATAATGGAAAATATTGAATTTATGAAACAAAAGGTTAGAGTTATAACTGAAAATCAGAAAGAAGAAAAAAATGAATCATTTGATTTTTTTCGTTAGAATCAAATTACTCGTTCTTTTTTCCTTGACAAACGAGTCACCTGATACAAAATGACTCATAAAATTTTAACAAACAGACAAGCCCTAGGTGCCATAGAAGTCATATATTGGAAGAGTTCATACAATTTGCCTGGATTGTGAGATATCATGCAACATTAAATTACATTATTTGGATGGCATGAATTTATGGTAGGACTAAAGTAAAAAAAATATTGTGGAACTCTTATAAATTAACGTGAAATCTCAAATGCTTTTGATTTACTCAAAATACCGAAATATCATGAAGAGAATAATTTGCAAATTTCTTGGTGTACAGATACTTATGGTATCAATTTCAAATGAAATAGGAAAAACAAGAAATTGCAAAACATCATTATACAATTCTGATAATCATTAGATCGACCCATAAGCTAGTTGATTGCCAAACAACCCCTAAGGCCCTAAGTGAGACCGAAAGTGATGATAAAGAGCATTAAGACAGAGGGAGAATTGATAATCTATATATCTTTTTTGCCCCCACAAATGTTCAGAAGAAACCCTAAGATTTGAACTCTCAGTTAGATGTTCACGGCCATGACCACGAAGTCTGGGTGTGGACGAGTATATATGACCCAAGGACTTAAAAGTTTTGAGAGTATGAATTGGTCCAAAAGTAGTGAGAAGAACCCAAACAAAAAGTGTATTTGAATTTTGAACCCTATTCGTTTCATTGCGAATTTCAATTCGGACAATTTTGCGACTAATTATTAAGAAATGTTGAATCACACTGCGTTCAAACCTGTCGAATTTGATCCAAATGACGACTCTGACTAGTATGACATGAATGAAACAGATCGTAACACGCCCCCCGTTGGTGAATCAGGCTAGCAGCTTGATTGTCAACTAGGGGCGCGTCTAAGGAGAAATCATGTAACAAATCGTTTGGTCTCAAAATTAACTCGAGTTGTTGGGAGAAAGTTAATTGTAGATCTCATACCACTCTCTGCTACTCCCACTCGAGTGAAATTCTGCTCATCAACTTGAAGCTCGCACAGACTTACCACACATTGCGCTTAAATCAACGATTGATAATGCGTTTATGTTGATATTCCATCATATGACCACTATGCCAAACCAAACTCTAATGTCATGTCACAAATAGTTTGGTCCTAGTAATTCGGATCGGTGAGGAAAAATATTTACCTATCAATCTTATACCCAATTTCTCACAAAAACCATCGACGAACCCAATACGATCCACAACTACCCGATGGATGCATGAGATTACAGTAACTATTACCGATTGCATCTAACAACTACGTCACACGCAACACGTACAAAACGCCGATCATTAATGTTTTTAGAACAGTCCTAACCCTAACGAGAATTAGTACTCTGCCTTACGGACTTTGCTAAAATGCCCACATGGCACATGCAAGAACAATGTTCACCGTCAATCATGTAATGCAAACGTCACGCAAAAATATCACTGCATCCATCGAACAAACCATGATGCTTTCGTGCCCAATTCGACAGTCGCGCGCGATACGTTTTGTGATCATGTTCGTTCTAAGTACGCCCTCTAAACACCATAGAGGGATTGGATGCACATTAATATGCAGTAGATTAGTCTGGTGGGACCTTAATGTGGTGATGGAATGAAGTGAAAGATGGTCCCCAAAGTGAGTGAGTGAGTGGGTGACGGAAACGCGAATCAGGAGGAGGAGGAGATGGTACGATGAACACTGTTGAAACGCACGCGCAGGCGTACTACTGCAGAGAGAAAGAAAGAAAGAAGATGATGAAATAATGATCATTTAATCAAAACAAAATGTCCCTTCTCCCACCCGTCACTTCTGCGCCTCGCGAAGCTAAAATGGCCGCTTGCGATCCATCCATCCATGGCGTTTTAGCAGCAGAAGGACAAAAGAGATGCTATTATTATTTGCACGAGTGAATAATATATATATGTTGTGGTTGAAGGCCGGTTGGATGGATTGGATGGGAAGAAGTGTTTTTATGAAATGTGTGTATTTGGACCTAAAATCGTTATGAAGATTGTGATCACACCTATAGTGGGCTGGTGTGTGGTCAATCACAATCATTTGGAATCAGTGACAGAGTCTACAATATCTACAGTTAAAAAAGTATAGTTGGAGCCTTATGATCATCAAATATAATTTTTCCCCTTGAAAGAGATAAAATGGAAAAAAGTTGGTAGTTAATTTGATGATCGTGAAAAGAAGCGAACTCGAGAAATAACTATAGGTGGACGACAAAATTCTTTTAGTGGTTGATATCGCGCACTTGGAAATCTCTGATCCTTACCTCTTGAGCTGCTCGAAGATGGTCTTCTTTTAACAGTCACAGGATGTTACAATTAAATGAAATTTAAAAAAATTGTGGCTAGTCTGATCGGAGGAGGTGTTGGTTCATATGCATTAGAAGGACCAGTCCGTTGAGATTGTGTTCATTTGATGACAACTCTCGGTCCAAGTTTAGAGTTTAGGGTGGTGACTGGTGAATATGATTGCTAACAATGTCGCTCATGAAATAACGCAACGTATAAACCTGCTTCTCTATCTTGTGCGGAGATCGTTGTCTCTTTAGTTGAAAGCAATTTACAAAGATAGCTAGTATTAATAAACCCTTGTGTGTTTCGATATTATCTTAGTTAATAAAAAAAAATTATGCATCCTCGTCCATACAACAAAGTTCTCGATAACCCTTCAATTCTATCTTCGTCGTTTCAGAGTCCACCTTAAATAATTTTTCATTAAACATTCAAATAGGGACACATGTGTTTCTTTCAACTTTTAAATCCACCTATCCATACTTGACAGACATAGAGAGGGAAAAAGAGAGAAAGAGACTGAAGTCAACTTAGTGTTGACATATGCTGAGATCAGCCGTATCTAGCTATGGCCCCATAGTAAATTAAAGCAATCCATATCCTATTCTCATTCCAACGTCAAGATTCTAATAATCAACGCAATTTGAGATGGAGAATACAAGAGAAAAGACAGATTTCGTATTACATCAACAATCTCAGGACGTGGCAATTTCTGTTTTACACTCTACAAACAAAACCCTTTGCCTTCCGAAATGAATATGATCCCTTTTTCTGATGCAATGTATGATGAAAATCTGAACCGAATTTTTGGAAAAGGAAGTTTGGACACCAGATATGGATGACTGGTTACTCGAGAAGTGCTTATCATCCAACTTAGCAATAGGTACTGCATTTGTATCAAGCTGGCGGTGCGGTTTAGTGATGGTGTGGTTGAAATCCGTCGACTTTGAATAATTTATTTTTTGGATTTGTCTTCTTTTTACAGGGTTTAATAGGTGTATTTTAATGATTAGTTATGGAATGTGATGTATTAAGTGCTAGTTTGAATCTGTAGTAGAATTAAACGTTGGCCAGTAAACTATTAGATGTATTTTTTATTATTACGAGGGAGGTAATGTAAAATGATTAGAAAGGATTTGTAATGTTAAATATGAACAACAATAATCATCAAATAGATTTTGTTGGATTTATTTCATATGAATGGGAATGGGGTGGGAATACGAATCTCAATTGGCAAGTCGGAGCATATTTTTCGATTTTTATAGCCGTTTCATGATATATCGAGTCGAGACTAGGTAGGGTCATTTGTTTTGGGGAGCGGTTAGGAGCAGTTTGACATATATACGAATACGTATCTTAATGGAAAATCCCTTGAAACATTGATTTTTTCATTAAAAATGTAGTTAAATTATTAGAGAAATCGATCCTCTCATATGTTTATAACCTTATTATAGAAAGTATTACTATAATAAAAGTAAAAAATTTAAGTAAATTTTGGACAAAATTACATATAAGTTTTAGACAAAACCAAATAAAAAAATAATACATGTTAATACGAGCACAATCGAGAAGAGTACTCATATTCCTCCCACCCCACTTATAAGACAAGTATTACTCGCTTAGAACAAGTCAAACAGATCGAGTGACTGTGATTTGTGAAGTCGAAATTAACATGGCTATGGCTAGGGGTGGAAATTGGGGTGAGTGTGGTTACCTGCCCCACATTTTGCGGGTACCCACACCCACAAATTTACAATTATGCTACCCACAACCTGTACCGCAGTGGTTAGTATCTAGTGGGTAACTACTACCCACTGTGGGTTTGTGCGGGTTGAGTGTGGTTACCCTCAAAAATACATCTTTGCAAGCATAGAGTTCTAGTCGCCACTAACGTATTTGTTGTTCGTAACTAGACTATAGTGATATACACTTGTGTTGTTCGTGGGAATACAATTTTGTACATCGATCTTACTCAACGTGGAGATTTTTTCTTTTTGAGTTTGATATTCAACTTTTGTGTTAGAGAGCTGTGATTTCATATTTCCCCGACTAGGGGTGAAATATGACAATTAAATATGATCTTGTATTTTTTTTCACACAAAAGCAAAAATATACTAATTAAAGTTACAAAAGGTGTTCACTTTTAATGAATTGATTATTCTCCACTCTATCGATTATAGTTTATAAACTAAAAAATTCTTACATAAAACTGATTAGGTGTCTTTTTTATTTGGTGGCTACTTTAATTTTTATCCTCACACTTTTCACATAATATTATATTATAAAGTTAATTCACTAAATAAATATAATTAGTGTGGTTATTATGGATTTTGTGAGTTAACCGCGGTGGGTAGTGGATAACTACTAACCACAAAAATCTTTATTTTACTACCCACACCTAACCTACTACCCACACCTAACCTACTACCCACAACTTATGGGTATGGTTACCCACAATAGGTACGGATTGGTGCGGTTTGCTGATTATCCACAAATCGCAACCCAAACTTCCAGACCTAGCTATGGCTACGTGGAAACGGGGTCAATGGACTAGGGAGGGAGGGTCGTGTGGCTCAACGAGGCAAAAGGGTTTTGGGGCTATGGGCGAAAGGAACAGTGTGCAAAGAGGGAGCTTTGCTTTGCTTTGGAGGGTGGGGGTGGGGGCCAAACATAAATAGACAAAAAGAGTGGTGTATTTATTGCCCACTTATTCTTCAACCCACTCACTTCACTCACTCACTACTGCTCTCCCTTCAGGATTTTGCTTTGATTCACTCTCTCACTTCACTTCCCTCCCAGCCTCACTAGTTTTAGTCAGAGAAACAAGGGAAACCCATTACCAAACAAAAACAAACAAAACACTCTGCAGCAGAGAGCCAGAGCAGCATTTTGATCTTCGTGCTTCTTATTGGCAGCAATAGTAGTAGTAGTTGTAGGGGAGGAAAAATTTATTGCTTCTCTTTCTACCTTCTTCATCTTTCTTTAAACCCACCTTTCCCAATTCCCCCCACCAAACCCGTTACCACAGCCAAAGCTCGAGTCTTTCTACAGAGCAGAGTCTACTGTACTGATAGGAGAAAGTATGTTTGCAGCAGAGAACGGGCTGAAGGGAGACCCAAGGCTTGAGGCCATCTCCCAGGCTATTAGGGTTGTCCCTCACTTCCCCAAGAAAGGTTTCCCTAAAACCCTTTTCTTGTTTTGTGGTTCTTGGCCGCTTCCCCCTCTGTTTTTGAAGTTCTTGTGCTAAGTGAATTTCGTTTTCCCTTATCTTTTTGTGTGGTTGGCAGGTATAATGTTTCAAGATATAACGACCCTGTTGCTGGATCATAAGGCGTTCCAGGATACGGTGGATATCTTTGTCGATCGTTACAGGAACATGGACATTTCCGTAGTCGCTGGTATGTTGTGTTCCATGCTTCTCTGATCGCCATGGAGCTTGTTCATGGCTAAATTTTGGGTTTTGGGTCCTTTATCAGCACTTGCATGTGTCTTTATCTGGGTTAGTGTAGTGTCGGCTGGCTGCTATTTTTCTTTTGGCTGGATATGGAGTTTTGGTTAGTGTGGTTGACAGTCAATTATGAAGAGAGGAGCTATCTGCTTAGGAAATTTTTCTCGTTGAGATTGTGCGTTGTACTTTTGCAGCATCCAGCTGCAATCTTGGTTCCCCTTGGATTGCATTTTTCAGCTCGAGGGAGAAAAGGGTAGTTGATGGTGGTGGGTCTTGTCCCCTTAGTCCTGTTGTCTCTATCGGATGGTCCTTCAATTTTGTGGAAATGGTTGCTCCATGTGTTATTAGATGGCTAGGCTTCACTGTGTGTACTTGATGTGGGGAGGGTTTTCTTGTACCTGATGACTGATTGATGACCTTGTGCTTGTCTGCAGGGATTGAAGCTAGGGGTTTCATGTTTGGTCCCTCGATCGCTTTAGCCATTGGAGCGAAATTTGTTCCCTTGAGGAAGCCGAAAAAGTTGCCCGGTAAGGCGTAGTATGTTGAATAGAGGGCAATGCAACAATGTTTGTTTCCAAATTTGTGGCTAGTTTTGAAAGTATTGGTTCTTGGGGGTCTAAGTTTATGTCAAGGGTTGAATCCCATCTCTAGGGGGTGTTTGAACTCGGACTAAATACCATGCAGGTAAAGTGATATGCGAAGAATATGAGCTGGAGTATGGAACAGACTGCTTAGAGATGCAGGTAGATGCTGTGCAGCCAGGGGATCGTGCGCTGATAGTCGATGATCTGGTCGCTACAGGTGGAACACTGTCAGCAGCGATAAGGCTCTTGGGTATATAATTATATGGTTTACCTGTCCTCAGTTCACTTTTATTGAGTTTTCTTAAGCCCACTCACACCAGTGGATGCACTGGCCATTTTCAGAACGCATGGGGGCGCAAGTTGTAGAATGTGGATGTGTGGTTGGTTTGCCTGAAGTCAAGGTAATTGATAGATGAAAATCCCTATATTCCTACAATGGAGAGATGTTTTTCCTAGTAACTGTTGGTAAGTTTCCCCAGCTTTCTGAATCTGCTTGAACGTGGTTCCAGGGGCAGTGTAGGCTGAATGGAAAACCAGTGTATATCCTCGTGGAGCCTCGAGAAATAGACAATTGCCGCCATGGTTTGTATGCATGCAAGTTCTCCCTCGTGCCTTTCGTGTTGCGGTTTAACTAATTCAAACTGCACTTCTTTTGCCAGCAGATATCTCCTCTGAGTTTTTGAATGTGCAATGCTCTGGCTGACTTGGGGGAGAACCAAGGGAAGAAGTTTGAGCAACTGCAGAACAAATGTCTGCGCGGTTTTCTCCACTCTCGTATGCCCGCCTTCTGTTCAAGTTTGGGGCAGCCGAATGTTCCACGGTAGCTTTGTGTAGTAGCAGTAGTAGTCTTCTCTTTCTTGTGGCGGTTTTTACTTTATGCATTGATAGTTGTCTTTAGGGCCTGTGTTGTAACTTAAGAGAATGAGCAATTTAGAAAGAAGACTTTGGCATAGATCAATGATGTATCATTCAATTCATTTGTGGTTTTAGTCTGAATCTCATCTCTTTCCCCACATGAAAGGGTTTCTGTACGAAATTGGCTATGGTGTTGATGCAAATCTGATCTGTGCGTCGTGCCGTGCCGTGCGTACTTATATCGTCAGGTTGCTCCCCTGCACTATCTGTGCTGATGCAATGAAATGCACTGAACGCCCAGCAACAGCACTGCATCGCAACTGCATTTTGGATTTTGCAATGAGAAAGATTCGATTCCATCTGGGCAGATTTGTTCAGCTTCGAGAAAGGTAGAAAGATTCAGTCCACTCCTAAACCCAACAACCAAGAAATACGCCATTGGAAACATAAAAAAACGTATGCCTTTCCTTATCCATCTCGTCACTTTGGTGTGCATCTCTTTTTGCTTCTTTATATAGAGCAAAGGAACTCGACAAATAAAGCCCTAGATTGAATATAGATAAACATAATAAAGTGGTCATGTCTTTCTTTACCTAAAAAAACTTGGCATGTGCCTGAATGTGTATAATATGGCCTGTTCCAAGCAACTTGAATGTGGACAAACGAGAAAGTCGTCAAATAGCAAAACAACAGGCTTTTGACCTTGAAAGATCTCATGTTCGAATTTCGACTATGACCAACATCAGCAAATAAAAGTTCCCAGAAAATCTACAATGCAAGGGCACGAGGGATTGAGAATGGTCACAAAATGTTTATCTTAGGTACAAAGATGGTGGTATGAACCGTTGAAGGCAATGCTCTCTCTCTCTCTAGCTGACTTTTGTCGTATAAGTGGATAGTGAAGCTCCACAAGGTTACAAATAGTTAAAGCTGCAGTTCGGTGCAGATCAACTTCTTCATCACAGGCCATACATAGGTAGAAGTGAAATTAAAATTGATCAAATGGAAGAAAGCGGAAAGCTAAAACATGACAGAAGAGAAGAGGGGAATATGATTCTCTATGGTTCGTTCATCTATCTACATTAGATATGTCCAGTGACGGCTCCCTCGAAATCGTGCCCTTTCGAAGAGCACGACGAGCAACAGAGTATACCTGTCTCCGCAGCTTTGCATTATCGGCTAGTATGTCTCCGAGCAATGTCCTCAATTCACTGTTCATTGTCGTCTTCTCGTTACAATCAGCACCACCATCATCAGCTATTAGTTGTGCCTGGGCACACAAAGAAAATGACCAAGAAAGAGAGCATGAGATCACGCGGGGCAAAAACCAAAGAGTCGGGAATCCTAATAAAGTGAAAAGTGGCAGTACCTCTGCAAGAAGAAGGCTAATCCGGTCATCAAATGTTTCCAATAAATCGAACGCGTCTTCAGATGAGGAGTTCAGCACAAAATTGTTACCATCATCTTCACTGGATAAATTAAGGTTGCATTCTTGGAGTCGACTCCACACAGTCCTGCAATCGTGCAGGAGCCTTTTCTGGCGGTCTTTCTCATGTTGCCTAGACTCTCTCTCATGTTCAAGGTGTTTCTGGAGAGAAAAAAGCATGCACCATTAAGGATAGGGAAAGTCTGGCACACTGTACAAGCTTCGAAATGATAGTATCAAATGTTTTAACATTAAAATGGCGTCACCTCCATTTCGGCTTTCTCATTTATTGCTTGATCACGGTCCTGCTTCAACTGCTTCTGGGAACTTTGAAGAGATTTGAACTCTTTAGCAAGAAACTTTAGTTCAGCCTTTGATTTTACTTCCAATGCTTCATATTGCTTCGTTAGGTCCTCGAGTTTCTTTTTGGTAATGTCTAGCTCTTCCTGCGCGACGTCCTTCTCATTTGTAGGTCCATCATCTAATTTCATGCTTGACTTTTCATCCTGCAATAGTTTTAATGTAAACAGTAAATAGTATCAGATGCTCTAACCTAAAAGAAAACCAAAACAGTTAAAAAAAGGAAGAATCTATACAGCAAAACCAATAGACAATGCAGACCTCTTTAGCCTTTAGTTTTAGCTCCATTTCAAAGGATTTCCGCCTAAGTTCCTCCATATCCCATTGCATTTGTGTTAGCCTCTCTCTTTCAACCAAAATAGCCTGCTGCAGGTTTTCCTTATTTTTCTGTTTAGAGGTTTCAAGTTCGACCTCTAGGTCCTTCACCTGGTTATAACAAATATCCAAAGCATTAGTTAAGATCCATGTGCGAGATAAAAATCATCGACAAATGGGCTGGAAGAACTCCCATCGAGCTACTATCTAGTCCAAATAAGAAACAAAAATCCAAAAAGCATTTCACTTTCGATCCACCAGGGCTTACATACCTTCTTAGCAAGATAATCTTTAATGGCTCTTTCTTGATTTAACCTTGATATCAGGTCCTCCATGTCGGTTTTTGCTGTGCCTAGCCGTCGTTGCATGGTTGTTAGAACTCTGCTCATTTTATGGCGTTGATCAAATGGAATAATTATTTGTGTATCGGCTGAAAGCTGCGACTCAATCTTGCTAAGAAATCCAAAAGAACTGGAAACCTCAGCTCCTCTTGCAAGGTCAAGAGATACATCAGCAGTGCCTGAATTTGATACACCAGCACTTTCACTGCCTCTCAAAGAGCTTCCATCGCTCCCAGCACTGTCACTAGACAATTTCCGAGCATGGCCAAGTGCCACCCTACCATGCTCTGGCTCAGAGAATGGTTCCACCCCATTGCCAACAATGGGTTGAACTTTGGGGGCATTACCATTGTACATGGAATTCCCCACAATGTTTGCATGTCTGGTGTGAGGTTTATGCCTAGGAAATCTTTCAAGCTTATCTAGGATAGTCTGCCCCATTAAGAGTCCTTCATCAATGTTGGAAATGCCATACTTCACTAGCTTTTCTGTTGGGTCTGTGAGATCTTCATCCAATGCTTGATCCTCCATCCCGATTTCAGAACTTTCATCCTTTACCAACCTTGGAGTTCCAATCTCAGATGCTTCATAAGCAGTATCACTTCCATAATCGGAAGCAATTGACGAAGTCGCAGTAAGAGCAGACGGGCTCGAATTAGGAGGTATCTGAGATGAAGTAGGTGTAGCATCGCCAGTTAGAGCTGTTTCTGGAGACTCTTCATTTGCATCCTGAAAAGCTAAACAATGAAAGAGGGAGAGAGTTCAGCAGGGATACATCCTTTGAAACAACTGCATACACAAACCTTTGGGGTTTAAACAAAGAATCCTTTCCTATACGCCCCGAACCAGGATTGCCTGGAAAGCCCTTAAGCCTCGGAATCTAAAAGAGGGTAGATGGTTGAGTTTTTCCTCTTGCAGATTATGGAAATCTGAGCTTCGCTGGAAAATTCTATACATGTGGCAACTACTTTTTTCCTCTTTAACAGGTAAATTTGCCACACATATGCAGGAGACTTTGGCCCCCAAGGGCTACAATAATGCAGGACTTAACTACTCATCCCACAATCTTCCTAATCGAATATACAAGAATATGAATGGGTATATACAGGTGAGACTAGAAGGAAATAAGGGACATCTACATTGGTTCATTGGCTTAGTAACGTGTCTAAGGTCTGTTTCCTGTCCCAGGGGCGGATTAGCAACAAAATGGGTACAATTGGGACAGACTCTAATCCAAAATAGAAGTCAAGTCTATAAGCCCTATGGATCAAATACACGTAAACATTTCTACAGTACAAAATAGAAAATGAAAATATACCCAACCTAAACATGGAGTACATACCAGACCTTGCAGCCGCTTCTAGTTCAAGAAAGGATCCAACTGCTATGCTTCTAGATAAATCAATATCGGACAGTAGCTTTGTCAACCATTCCTCCAAAGAGCATCTCCTCTGTGACACCACTAAGACTTTTAAGATTATTAGTCAAATATAGAATATAATCTAATAGAAAAATTCAAGTCCCAAGTGAATTGAGTAAATACTAAATAAAACTAATACATCCTAAGAATTGGACTAGCAGAAAAAATGACCATTTCGAGTTCTGTGTAACATCGTGGCACTGATAAAAGTTTAATCACCAAAAGTAGCAAAATCACTCAAATATTCTCAATGCTATTCAGGATACCTATGTATGAACCTAACTTTATCGAAATGTATCCACCTTATAGCATGGTTCCATCACAGATCATAAAAGCATTTGGACTACACTCTGGGACTATAGAGTTGGTTTTCCAAGGAAGTCAAACTGTGCTGGCCAATTATGCATACCCTAAATACAAAAGGCAGATACCTCCAAACACAGTTAGCATTTGCCAAATCATGCAAATATCTTTACCACTTCTTCCATCATTCCTCATTTCAGTTTTCACTAGTATGTTTGAGCGAGATAATTTTTCTCATAGACCTATGGTTGAGCTGCTAATGTAATTTTAAGATGATTTGTTGGCGAATATCAGAATTTCTGAGCCAAGAGGATTGGGAACATTATGCATTTTGCTAGTGACAACAGGAAACAAACATTAGATATTATTGTTCATCCATAAGATTTTCCAGATAAGGAACCTCATTTTATCAGCAAACTACAAAGTCCTTCCAATAGCGATTCAAGCTTAAGTTAAGTAAATCTAAGGTTAACACCTCCAACTCTAGATGTGCTACAAGTATCTCTAAGGACTCCATAGACTTTGAGGACTAATGGTTAGTTTAACCCACTCGATACTGGGTAAAAAGTATTAAAAAACACAAACACAGATGCGGCTCGACAAGGGGGCGAGAGAACATCCATGGGAGCAACGTTTAATCATTATCGACAGAAAAACCACTACAAAGTTCAAAACAAATATCCTACCTCTTCCAACAATGCTCTGCTTTTCATACGCAATAGTCCCTTGGGTGGAGTTGGTGGAAGACTCTTCTTTGGAAATGCCTTTTTAAGCTGTAAAAGGAACTATTAATATGACACATTTTCCAAATGTTGTAAAATTCATCCAAATGGTAGATAAATGCCCATATGTTGTCCATACAAATAATTTATTCAAGCGAGTATCATAGAGAACAGTGAATTCAAAAATTGCCCAAGGGACTCGAGCAACCTATTATAGTAAGCTGTGAACTTACATCTGCAAATAACCTCAGAAAATCATTAAATCTTCTCAGTACTCCACGTGTAACTGTTAACCCTTCAGGTGATTGCAAACCAACCTGAACCCTGTAAAACTGCCCCTTATGATCGTTAACTTGAATGAAGTTCAGAACAAGTACAAAAATACCCATCCTACATTTCCAAATGCATTAGAATGGTATTAAAACATAAAGCCTAGCAAAGAAATAGATGCACTGCCTGCCCAAGGAATTCCTTCACCCACAAAGGAGATGGGGGGATAGCAAGAAGCCATTAGTATTTGTAACTAAACCCAATATTTAGTTCAGCAAGTTCATGTCG